GTTACCACTACTACCGGTACTGACACAGCTACACTCTGTACTTGAGTTACCACTACTACCAGTACTGACGCAGCTACATTCTGTACTTGAGTTACCACTACTACCGGTACTGACACAGCTACACTCTGTACTTGATTCACATTCTGTTTTAAATCTGTCTTTGTTAAATCAGAACATATTTATTATTACTATAATTTTTCTTAATTCTTTTGAAAATTTTTAAACTCTATTCCAATATTCTTCTGTTGTTTTCCTGTTAGTGTTTCGGACTTTCAGGTTTCACTGGTGAGTTTTTTTAGATCCATTCCAGTCTTAAAATTTGCATTCCTTAAAAAGCTAACAGATGACGCTTGTAAGAATATCGTATTAAACGTCCTAGTTCAGCTTTACTTCTTCATCTACATGGTCTCTTTATCCTTTCAGCACTTTTGGATTGTAAACCATCAATTGATTGTCTCATGTTTTATGTGTGAAAATATTATGATAGCTTTGTGATTATTGAGACATGATATCCTTTTTTTTTATACAGACATACTACTTTATCGATAACAAATACGTGTATAGGGCAAAAATGCTAAAGTACCCGTCCCCAGTGACGGGAAAAGTTTAAATTAATTTATCAATTTTTAATTATTTCATGGACTTTAAACAGGTTAATTGTGTTTCACTCAGAACCAAAGTTCTGAGCTACTCATATTGCCCACCGCAAAAAGTAATTGTTGAGAATTTCAGTCATGCTAAGAGCAGTTCAACAATACATACGGTCAATCTATATTTTTATTCTTTAAGTTACGTCACATTTTGAAATGTGACTAATTCCTAACAGCTTAGTGTAGAATATCCTGCTTGCAAAATAAAATTTGACATCATCATTATTCATGTCTGGTCTCCCGTCATTTCAAGAGTGAATGTTTATTTTTGTCTGCGTGCACAGCTTTCAAACGCAGCGCGAGAAGCGGCCGTCGTAAACGGAAGACAGACGAACTGCTATTACTGCCTATGATTTCTTAAAACATCGTAAAATGTCTCTGTGCCTTAAATCTTTGTGTTTTTTAGAAATTTCGTGTAGTTTCGGTATGAGTCGGTAAAGCTAGAATTTTATATTTTGGCGAGAAAACTTGTTTGCGGATAAGCTAACGAACTTGGGTAGTAATACGTGCGTGATGTTACTTAGAATAGAATTGTGGTATATTAATTCGCAGCATTCTTTACTTGTGCAGGTTTCCAGTAAGTAAAGTATGTATAATAGCATTTGCACTATCTTTTGTTTGTTTTAAACCGTAGCCGACAAGGCCTTTCACACAGTATCGGAACTTATCAGTACAGTCGGATTACAACATACAAAATCTTAGTCCAAACGCTATTGATTTCAGTTGCTTACGAAACAAGAAGTCTTAACTTATAAAATGCCTTAATTATATTGTGATGCTAAGTATTATGCTTCTTCAGCTACGATGTTCTACATTCTAATAGTAATAAAAATTTCGTTTCAGTGTTATTCAATGATATTTGAACCATCAGTTTATTTTATTTCGAAATACATTGCTTGCAAAACCACTATAAAGTATTATACTAGTTATGCTATAAGAATTGTCTTTAAGGTTGGACTTTTTTTTAATATTACGCTTTAGATATTTAGTTACAACGTATAACATTTGCTTGTTTGCATGTTATATTATTAAAGTTTTCCAGTAAGCTTTTTAGGAGTTTATACAGAAATATACAGTAAATAATAAAACATGTTAAAACGTTTTAGTAAACCTGAAATTTCTTACGTTATGCAGAAAATTAAGTTGCAGTAGTGATACATCTTAAATGGAATTTAGTTTGAGAAAATAATTGATTTAGTTTGTTTTTGAATTTCGCGCAAAGATACACGAGGGCTATCTGCGCTAGCCGTCCCTAATTTAGCAGTGTAAGACTAGAGGGAAGGCAAGCTAGTCATAACCACCCACCGCCAACTCTTGGGCTACTCTTTTACCA